TCCAGTCTGATCATCCAGATCCCAGCAGCTCTTAATACAGCCCACACAGTAACTGTGTCCACAGGGAAGAGACACTGGATCCTTCAAGATATCCAGGCAGACTGGACAGCTGAGCTGGTCCTGAGCCACTGAGATACTGGCTTCAGCCATTTTTACTGCACAGACACAGAGACGCAGTTTCAGTGAGGCTTCGGCAGAAACGAAAGTTAGCTGTGTGAGTCACTTCCTGTTGCTGTGCAGGCTGGGGGTGTGGTTCTGGACAGAGACCAAGCTTATTTATACAGGCTTCCCAGTGGAGAAGAGGAAGGAGATAAGATTACAGAGGTCACAATTCAGTCGTTTTCTTTCATGTTTACTTCAGGGAGGTACACAGTACTACTCATTCCAAAGGATCCCAAACTGCTTCGCACACTGGAGCAGGACCCACTTCTCCCCCCATTGAAGAGCAGACACCCCTGGGAGACACACAGTGATCATTCTGCACCAGTGACCCCACCTAGGAGACACACAGTGATCATTCTGCACCAGTAAGTGCACCTTGGAGACACACAGTGATCATTCTGCACCAGTAACCCCACCTGGGAGACACACAGTGATCATTCTGCACCAGTAACCCCACCTGGGAGACACACAGTGATCATTCTGCACCAGTGACCCCACCTGGGAGACACACAGGGATCATTCTGCACCAGTGACCCCACCTGAGAGACACACAGTGATCATTCTGCACCAGCAGCACCACTGCACAGACACCTACTGGGGCTGTGTGCTGGAAGTACTGGATCAGAGAGAGGCGCGCCCCCTGCTGGATGAGAAAGGAAAGGGCGCAGTCTCCCAGCTTGCCAATCTGCCTATGTGCTCGTGTTCTAATGGCAGAGCCTTTGAGGAAGTGTACTAAATGGCTTGTTTTACCCAGTATTAAAACGTGGTTGTTGGTGCTGCTGTTCAGATGCAGTTGCTTTGTCTGCAGCCTCGTCAGAGAATCGCAGCAGCAGCTGAGCGCCTGCAGCTGCTCTCCAACAGCTGACGTCCCCGCGGAAGCACAGCGGCCAGTGCGGGCGAGAGATTTTAATGGCACAGTTCGCGCTGTACGGGATCATGCTATATTGATATCGACTGTCGATTGCTCCTGGCCAGGGGTTCGGGAGGGACGGGGCGGAGTCTTTTCAGCACCTTGGAGAGCGGAGGACGCGCCCTCCCCGCTCGCCGCGCGCCGTGGATGTGTAGGATATTCTCTAATGAAGACACCGCTCGCGTCTGTGCGCGGCCTGCCCACCCGTGTTCGTGTTCACGGGAGACGCTGTGGCGTCTGTGTGTCTCGGATTCCCCTCCTCCACCAGCTCGCCGCTGCGCTGGACGTGTTTTCGGCTTCACTGGAAAGGCGGCGTGTCTGCGTGTGCGCTGGCCGTGACTTCTCAGCCCTCCGCGCGAGCAGGTGCAGCTTCGCTCGGCCGTGACGAGAGACAGCATCCGTGCGTGTGCGTGACCGGACGCCGACGGGATAAAACACAAATACTCCAAA